AGCTAACTTCAGTTTTCCTACTACGAAATGACAAATGCTTCGGAAAGCACGTGTTTTTTCTTTAGTAGAATTGTTTGTGTCATCCTTTCAAGTAAGTCTTTTATTTTAAAAACTGAATAAGCAGACATAAAATAGGTTTAGATTTTGAATTTCCTCTAGCTTATGTGAAATAAAATAACTTACTAAGTACACTATAAAAGAAATACTAACAAAAGAATTAATGACTGAAATTAGAGAAAATATTTAAAAGAAAATTCAATTAGATTGAAAACAGAACTTTTTGGAATTTTTTAGATAGCACAAATTAATTGGGATAGAAATTTTGAATAAATTGGGATAGCATTTTGAATAAATGATTTTTACTATTTGATCAATTACTAAACATATCACTATATGATTTCTGTAGTGTGCCGGTACAAAACAGCGTGGATTTATTTAAAATGAGCTCAATGCTTGTCCATGAAAAACACAAAACATGAGCTCAAAATGGGAAAATCGAAAAATTTTGATAAAGTTAAAATTTCAATAACTCGCATATTTGAAAAAGCCCATTCACCAAAATTTCTCAAAAACATCCTTATGTATTGTAGTTTCTGTGGTAAAAATTTGTTTGAAAAAGGTTTTGTCCTTTCAGAGATATTGCAGCTTGAACTTTTTATCTCAAAACGATGGCCCAAAATATTTTGAAACATGTAGTTTTGTACAGCTTGACGAGCTCTACCGAACTATGTAAAAATATCCAAGAAAAATGTTTTACTCCATTTTTGATTAACTGGCACCTCACCAAAAAAGTATCAAATTTCTTAAGTGCGACATGAAAACGTCTTCATAACCTTTACTACTTAGTGCCAATAAATCCAGTTTCTGACGCGCTTTAATTTGGTATAAATACATTGTGATATTATCTGTTCTTTAGGTTCTAGAGGGAGGGAGGCAAAGGTTATGTGCCACTCTGTACTATGTTCCTCATCTAACCACATAATAATAATAGACATTAATCATTAAATTTCAGAAATATGAAGCTGAAAACGTTAGTGAGAATGACGTCTTTTTCGCATCTGCACTGACTGACATTTATTAGTTGGAAACTTGACATCACTTATTCAATACTTTTCGTAAGAAACGTACTGCCTATTTGCTAATATTAATACAAAAGTCTTATATGCAATATTTACTTTTTTTCTTGATGTTTAATACTCTTTGCAGTTTAATTCGAACAAGTATATCGCCAATATACATATGTCATTGTTTTTATATGTAGAAAAAGGAAAAATGTATTAAAAACAAGATTTGACCATGTGTTTTATTATTATTCTTCTTTGTAAAATTGATAGATCGTATTAAAACAGCTAGATAATAATTGAAAAAATATTCTTTCTGTCTCTATTCGTACAAAATGGACTTTATATTTTTTGTCAGGTGAGACATAGAATCCTTTTCATGTGATTTATTCTCCCTTTCGTTCTGGATAGAAAAAAGTTCAAGTCAATATTTTTTCCTCGTGCAGGAATTTTCTACAGTTGTGAAATTGTACTAGAACAGTTGATGATAAAATATGAAACATTTTTTTTTGTATGAAATAGTATATATATAAGAGCTGATAACATATATAACATTTTATTTTATTTGTGAATATCATTTTATACACGCTTGAATTCCCGTTTATGTAAAGATTTTCTGGCGTCCGATAATATGAAAATATGCAATGATTGTCATCTAGCTATGCAATGCATTCTCTTCCTCCTGTTGTTTCTCTGGTGGTCGACTATGACCACTACCTACTCCACCTCTAAGTAGCAGATCGGTCAATATTGCACCTGCATCCACTATCCAAACCGGTGGCTTTTTCTGTCTTTTGGTAACAGTTAAGATGACTACTTGTTTTCAGACTCATAGTTTGATAAGATACTGTTAACTAAGTTCTAGTAAAGTGTGCATGCCAAATTCTTCCTCTCCTGTTACACCCACAGAGGTGCTTAATCCTGTGGCGACGATGATTAACGGTGATTAATACGGTAACGCCACAGGATTAAGCACCTCTGCGGGTGTAACAGGAGAGAAAGAATTTGGTATGCACAGTTTACTAGCAAGTTTTAACAACCAGTATATAGAGAAAGAAACAGTCTCCTCCCCTAGGAACGTATGTGACGCAAGTACTTGATTACTTGCTAAGTACTTGACAATGATCGAAATACTTGCCTTATTGCTAAGAAGTACTTTCTGCAAGTACTTGGCAAGTGAGGACAAGTAAGTACTTACAAGTAAATTTGCTTCTTGAAGAAAGGCAAGTACTGGATTCATTACGCAGACGAAGTACTTGGTCCCAAGTACGTTCTCTAGGGTCTCTAGGGGTAACTTATTACAATCGCTTTCAAAAAAGAATGCCGATCGTTATTTCTGAATAATTTTTGATAGGACGAAGCTAGAAACCTGTGATTTTCACTGATGTGTAATCAAGACCTGACCCTATAAGACTGTGAAAAAGCACCCCACCCCGACCACACACCAGCTGCAGGTGGTAAACCACATCAACCTTTCAAAGAGTAGGTTGTCAGAGAATCAACAAAGTCGTTCTTGAATTAAAGAAAAAATCGAGTATAAAATTCCGATAGAATTCATTATTAAATTTAAACAAAATTCATATGTGCATCCGAGCTTTCGAAACCTATTTAGGGCTGTTACATTACTTTTAGTTACGTTTTACTGTTTTTCCTGATTTTTTTAGAAATGTTCCATATCGAGCAGAGTGTTTTCCGGCGCGTTTGTAGCTGGAGACGAGATCTACTACTGGTAGAACGGACAGTTTCCCTCATAGTTAAGTTATTAAGCCTAGGACACGAAAAAAAGGTTGCTTTAAACTAACTTGTAATTTTGATTTTCTGAGCCCAATAACTTTAGAAGAGAGCATAATGAGAAAGTGTCGTCCTAACCAGTTATAGATCTCGTCTGCAGCGGCAAACTAGCCGGAAAACAACCTTTTCAATATGGAAAATTTCTGGAAAAAATTAGAAAAAACAGGAAAAGTAACTGAAAGTAACGTAACACCCCTACTTTTTCCCCCCTAGTTTTTCATTATCAAGGATAACAGCTGACACAGAAATTAAAATTACAATACAGTGTACCTTGTTCCATTTACAGATAACAAAAATATGTAAGCAAAATATGTGAAGAAAATATTCAATAAAACATCGATCTTTTGTCTGATTTTCAGTACTCCTATATCCTCAGATCGCTTTTGAATTCCAAATATTGCTGTCTATAGCCCGCGAGCTGCTCTACCATTCCACACAGGGTTCAGGTCTCCATCTTTTATGGAGCGGGCACTATGGACATTTTCCGCCAAAACTAATTTTCTCGATCCGCGCATCTCCAAAAATTCCAAAAAACACTTGATAGAATCATAATTAGAAATTTGAACTTAGATAATCTGTCCAAGAAAAATCATTCGGGACTACCTGCTCCGAGATCGTCTACTTTATTCGAAAGGTTCAATGCAAAAATCATGGAGTCACCGAACTTGTTGCTGCAATATCTCTGAAAGGACAAAACCTTTTTCAAACAAATTTTTACCACAGAAACTACAATACATAAGGATGTTTTTGAGAAATTTTGGTGAATGGGCTTTTTCAAATATGCGAGTTATTGAAATTTTAACTTTATCAAAATTTTTCGATTTTCCCATTTTGAGCTCATGTTTTGTGTTTTTCATGGACAAGCATTGAGCTCATTTTAAATAAATCCACGCTGTTTTGTACCGGCACACTACAGAAATCATATAGTGATATGTTTAGTAATTGATCAAATAGTAAAAATCATTTATTCAAAATGCTATCCCAATTTATTCAAAATTTCTATCCCAATTAATTTGTGCTATCTAAAAAATTCCAAAAAGTTCTGTTTTCAATCTAATTGAATTTTCTTTAATACCGACTGGGTGCTGACGAATTCATTGCTGTAACATTCAAAGAATAAATAGATTGCATAAACGTTTTTGATATATCAGTACAGGACTGATTATAAAAACATTCCAAATTTGACCGCATTGCCGAAGAGCTGATTAGACATCCATATTCAACACCAGGCATAACAAAAACTGCAGTAGATACTGCGAGAAGATCCGAACGGTTATAGACAGTCGACGGTACTGAACAGTCAGTTGACTGAAAACAGGAACGGTGGTCATCAGGAATAGGGGTGGCAGTATTACTGTTACTCATGTATTACATTACCGAGGAAAGTAATACTGAAAGGTATTCCTGTTACTGGTAACAGTAACACTGAACAGTATTCCTATTACCAGTAATATTCATAAAATTAGTATTACTTTTCAGTAAAGTAATACAAGGAAAAGAAATTCAATAGGGGGCGCCACAATCAACACGAAAACATCTTATTACCAGATGTCGCTAGTGTCCATCGCGCCTGCGACATCTAGGGATATGATGTTTTCGTGTTGATTGTGGCGCCCCATATTGAATTTCTTTTCCTTGTATTACTTTCCTGAAAAGTAATACTAATTTTATGAATATTACTGTTACTGGTAATAGGAATACTGTTCAGTATTACTATTACCAGTAACAGTAATATATACAATATTTGTATTACTGGTAACAGTAATAGTAATGTGCCACCCCTAATCAGGAAAGTCTGAGTAAAACTGGGTTGAATTTGAGAATGAGTTTGCCGGCCAAAAACTTAAGTAGAAGTTTGTACCGAGACCGGAAACGAGCAGACTAGCATCATTTATGTATTGAATTATGTTCATCGATTGTAAAAAAGTCTGTGTGGTAGTTAAAACGAAAAGATCGATGAGCGACTGTGTTTGAGAGTTAAATAAATGCTTGGATTGAACAGTAGCCGTAATGTATTGGCTTGAATTAAAAACAGTCAAATCATCGTTAATCCTCACATTTGATATTTGACATAGACCTCTCAAGAACTGGAATAACACTGGACCAGTCCATCGGTAATCGTGGGTGTAAAATCCCACGTTGCCATGACTATTTGAATAATTGATCCAATTCAGCAACACAAAATCCCTGCTGCAATACTGATGAAATGTTGGATTGAAACTCATAATTTCGCTATAGCCAACTGATATTGTTTTACATGGACAGGAGAGTGTTAAGGGATAGTCTTCGTACAGTTTCTCGTATTGCTTCAATGATGGCGAAGCAACCGTATGTGTTATTGTAACATCAATCAATGCCGTGTAAACAGTGAGTATAAATAATGCTGTTAATAGACAAAACACAAATAAACGAGTTGATATTAACTGATTTCCCATGTCGTGAAGATCGATTGGAGGTGGATATGATTTTATTATATTAAACGTTTTCACATATTGCTTGGCCTTCTGATAAACATTGCTGAACTTATTACCTGAAAATATATAGATGAAAAACTGCGAAGAAACGAACTACAAGACGGTGACTAATGTTATGGATGTCCTCCATTGTGTATGATTTTCACTGTCGTGTATTTCCAGATATGGAACATGCCTGAAGCCGTTGAACGAAGCGTTACATAAATTAGAAATATTTATATATGTTTAATTATCCTGATTTTGCGCCGCAGAGTGCTACCATAGTTTCCTCACAAATTCAACTATTCATGGAATAATAATCTGTAACACCTTTTTTAGAAATAAGTAAGTCATGCTTGGCTTTCAAGGTGTCTCTTAAAAGATGGATATCATACCTGCAACTTCTTGTTTAGGTCGCTTTTTTTTCCTCACAAATTCAACTGTTGGTGGAATAATAACTTGTAACACTTTTGTCAGACCGCCGACTAATCCAATGATCGTTGTCACAATATAAACGACATTATTATGACCGGAATATGTATATGTACATTCTTGAGGAGCACACTGTTTATAATAAGATGAGAAAGAGGCATTTGAGTTCCACTCTTCTACCATCAGCAGAGAAACAATCTCATTTAGAGTTGAATTTAGATGATACCGACTAGGTGCTTACATATTTAGTCCCCTGGTGTTAATTATACTTATATATGATTGCAAAGTGTTTACACATAACTGGTCATACATACAGGCTAAATTGGATTGTAATAAGGCTTCGAGAATATCAGTATGACACACCTCGAGGCCCGGAAGGTAAGATACGAGAGGGCTGGATGGACAGAGGTGGCAGCCATGGTAACAGACAAAAGTAAATGGCATTTATGTTGTAACAAAGAAAAAAAACACAACGCTTTTTCTAACAAACATCTGGTAAAATCTTCTAACAATGGAAGGTCGTGTATTGTAAGTGAAATTGATCGACCATATTCGGGTCAAATGAACACTCTCTCTGAGAAACTAACAAATTTAAAATATGAGCTGCCCTTGGCTTGCCTGGACAGAGATATTCAATTTTTAAGTTGTGCATTATTAGGCTATAGAAACATGATAATATATGAATTAATCACATGGAATTTTTAGTGTAACCATCAGATTTTTCAGACAGCGAGCTTCCCAAATTTTGATGAATTTATTGACAATATTCAGACTTCTTCAGGTACGACTTCTTCTGAAGTTTAATGGTACAGAATTAACAAAGAATAGTAACTAGTGCGTTGAAACGTGTCTATGCGTAAGATATCAACAAATTAAATGCATTAACGCATCACTTCATAATTTATAATATATTCCTTTTTGATTGGTGTTCGTAAGTCCCAATGAAATACATATTCACAGTAACATTCTCGCTTATTTTTCACCACGATAAGCAGTAAGAAAGATTGATTTCATCGAATCAAGGAATGAATCTAGTAAACATCGCGAAACATCTTCTCTATTTAACACAATCGGAATTTGATTTTAAATATTCAACACCAAGCGATGATGAAATTTATGCATCACAACAACTATTCAAAATTTTAAAATCATTTAAAGATAGTTACTTTAATGAATTGTATACTTATGAAAGTCTCGATTTCAACGATGAATATGATAAAACGACAGATGAAGAGGATACCACCGATGAAGAAGAATCATCTGATGAAGAAGAGAATATTACCGATTATGATGACAATCAGTACTCGAACATTCGGAATCATTTTACGTTAGAGGAAATGGAAAAAATAGTGGAATGGGCTGACCAACATCCAAATTGTAAACTTGCAACTATTGCACATAGGTTTAGGAAAGTCAAGTCTATGAATTATATCCCAAGGTTCAGAGAATATATTAACAAGAACGGTACTAGATTAGAAAAACTCAAAAATATCAAAGAATTTATGTGGAACGAATTTTATATTAAAAGAACAATTGAAAAAGAAGCAATTTATGATAGTGATCTGAAACTTTTTGCAATTCAAAAAGCAAGAGAACTGAATTGGGAAAATTTCGAAGCAGGTGAAACATTTATCAAGATGTTCAAGAGCGAAAATCGAATTTCATCAAGAAGATACAACAAACTGGTTACACGAGTTTCTTCTACCAGAAAAACGTGTAGTTTGAAAGGTAGGTTAAATTTTGAAATTCTAAATTATTGTCTTAATGTGTTATAACCGTATATTTTAGATGCTCACAATTGGATTGAAAGTCAAAGTTCGTTAATTTTGAAATATTCTTCGCGTCAAATTTTGAACAGTGATCATTGCTCATTTCAACAAGAATATGTTTCTCCAAGAACTCTTTCTTTTACTGGTGAAAGAACAACAGAAGTTGCCGTTAAAAAGAAGAAGAATATAACGCACTCGTATCCACTGCAACCTATTACATCAGCTGATGGTCAACTATTGGAGAAATTCTTTCTCATTCTTCAAGAAAAAGAGAATGAATTTGGTAAAGAATACAAAAAAATTTGATTGTACCACCAAATATTGTAGTGCAGGCTTCGAAATCTGGAAAAAGTAGCGATGAAAAACATCGCATTTTTTTGGGGTAACGACAAATCATCGAACGTATTTTCATCGAACGACATTTCGTCGAAAGGTTTTTCATCGCACGGACTTTTCATCGCATGGACTTTTCGTCGAGTGACTTTTCATCGAAGGACATTTCGTCGCATGAATTTTCCTAGATAACTGAACGATAACCATAAAGTAAATAGACGCACAAGAATAACTGAAAAAGTACTATGAATAACGGTCGAATTTTTCGACGGCGGCGTCTCAAAATTCGGCTTACATCTCTATGCACACATATCATACTGTTTTTTATGCTTAAAAACAAGACATTCTATCGCTGTCATTTTTTTTAGTCTATTGCTTTCATTTTTTAATTATAATACTAATAATAATAGTAATAATCGTAATAATAATAATAATTTCATTATAAGTATGGCTAGTTTTTTATCAACTACTAAAGGCAAACGTTTACTGCGTTTTAATGGTTATGAATATGTAACTGAAAAAAAGTCCGGAGAAAAAACATATTGGAAATGTAAAGATTACTAGTCAAACAAATGTAACGTTCGCATTCACACATTAAATATTGATGATTCTATTGTTCAACAACCAAAATTCGACCATGATCATCCTGCGGATGCTGCCAAAAGTGAGGTTCGCGATTTGATGAATAATTTAAAAGACAGAGCGAAAACAACTAATG